CGGATCTGATAACAAACAAGCAAAACAACCAGATAAAACAGAAAAAAAACAAGAAAAAAAGACCACCAGAAGGGTCATCGGAACTGGGAGCACGGAATCGGCTCCATCATGCTTGAGCAACCGGAGATCCCGGCGGCTCAAGCATAAAAAATCCGGCAAGCCCAAGGGCTGCCGAGCACAAAAAGGTGAGATCTGGGGAAGACGAAAGCAAAGACTGGAAGATTCTAGAGAAGAAAAAGAAAGGAGAACAGATCTGGGTTTTGACCAAACCCAAATCTGGCGAGGAAGAAGAACAGAAAAGAGAGGAGAGAAAGAATAAGAAAAGTTAAAAAATTGTTACATGGGCCCCATTAAAAGGAAAAGTTAAAAAGGTGATAATATGATGTGTAAAAAATATGCCATGTGTATAAAAAATTTTCTTTGTTGGATTTACACGTAATTAAAATTTAAAAAAGTCAATGATTTTGTGGCATCTTAACGTGCCACCTGGCATTTAACTGACGGAAGGACCATTTTGGTACAAAAATGAAAGTTCAAGGATAATTTTGGTACTTTTTAAAGTTGAGGGACAATTTTGGTGCCAAAGTGATAAGTTGAGGGACCAAAATGGTACTTAAACCAAAATTAAATAAAAACTTTTAGCAAAATTCAAACACCATCATGCGTTCCTAAAAAGCATGAGACAGCATGCGTGGTAACAAGCGTATGAGAATAAACAGCTTGGTCATAGAGACATAGTGGTGAAATTTTCTGCAGCAGGAGAGAGAGTAGAGCTAGTTTTAGATGGGGACAAACAGATGAAGTACCCTTCACTTTTTCCTTTTCTTTTAATTTCTTATGTCGTCTGGATATGCCTGTCCCAACCGAGCCAATAGTAGTGGTGGCTGATCATGTTTTGTTTGGACAGTCAAATTTTGAATTCTCTTGGACCCATAAATAAACCAACCCATTTCTGATTTCCATACAACATTTGCTTTTCAGAAGAATCCCAGAAGCAACTAAAATAAAAGATTATTTAATTTGTCGTAAATTAGTGGTGTTCATAATTTCATATGGCAGAATCAAAGCAGTTTCTTTCCCCACCACACCCCCCCCCTATAATTTACTAGTAATAAAGATCAATTTTTATCCGCTGATAAAGATAATCAATCAATAGCAATTAATTTAATCAGAGATTAAAAGTTATTTGCTTTAACTGTTGGACCTAGATGATTAGGTACTAATTGATATATATTTTAATTTAATATTTTGTATAATGCATATTAAAAATCATTGTTATTTATTTAAAATTAAAGACAAACAAAATTAAATATAGATTTATATACACAGAATCTAAGAACTGATAAAATTAATTATATTTATATTATACTTTTTGTAATTAAATTAAATTTATGTTAAAAAGTGTGTTGAATCAAGTGCTTATAGATTATTTTTTAGTTGATTATTGTTGTTAGCCTCCCAATAGCTTAACCTTAATGTTTGGGGACCGAGTAATATTCTCCATCATTTCCAGCTACTGGAGTCTCCACTAGATGCATAAATTAGAAAGTTGTGATAACTTAAAGGCCTAATACGGTACTTTTCTAAAGTTTTCTTTTCAGTTAAAAAAATTGCTTGAGTTCGGGTTATGACTCATGAGACTCACCTAGTGTAGGAAAAAGGGAGAATGTAATCTCTTGATCTTAGGATGCCAGCTAAATTTGGTCGAATGAGTTTAGCACCAACTTTGCAATATTTGAGAAGAAAACAGAGGTTAGAGTACATGTGAAGATCAACACATTTTTTGCTAGTTATTTATTTATTTATTCTTGGTGAATTCCATGTACTTATTTTTGGTAATTACTTCCATATCGAATGACGACGGAAACGTACATCAGAATAGTATGCACTTTTGGTTTTGATGATAACAAAACCTCAAATAACTGTAGACCTGCCCCAATTCTTGGTAGCATGGCATTTGTTTATGTGACAACGTGCCACACCACAATAAGCCAAATGATGACAACAAACCCACACTTTTGGTTACAAAGTCTATTTCAAAATTTTCTCAATTTAGCTTTTGGATCTTTATTGTCTCTACACCCTCCAAGCAACTCATGTGAGAAAAGGGTTTTAAATATGATAAAATACCCAAATCCACCCTCAAAGTATAGTGGCAGAGACAAATCCACCCCAAACAAAAAATAGGGACAAATCCACCCACAAAATTTTCAACATGGACAAATCACCCCAAATTTAACGTGTGACGTCATCCGACACCAGCAATCCATTAATTTATTAACGGATTACTGACGTCAGATGACATCAAATTAACATATTACTGATATCAAATGACGTCATACTTTAAATTTGGGGTGATTTATCCAAATCAAAAACTTTGTGGGTGGATTTGTTCCCACTTTTTGTTTGAGGATGAATCCGTCCCTACCACTATACTTTGAGGATGGATTTGGGTATTTTGCCTTTAAATATTATTGCTAGTTTGGTGTAGTGCTACTTTTTTTTTTTTCTTGATCTAAGATTGCACAATGAAAAGCAATTATTTCACATTTTTTAACTTACTTCATTCACATAGTGTATAATTTAAACTCATGATTTCTTATTTTCATTAAAAAAAGTGTCATTGGATTTTTTAAATCATTAAATAGTAATGCTAGTAGGCTAACCAAGAACAAGAGAAAAATCAATGGTTGATCCAAATTGATAATTTTCTTTCTTTCTAGCTCCTTTTCTTTTGTCTAAGTGCTTGGTAACTTTATTTTTATTTTTTATTTTTTGGACTAACACCTGAATGGCTGTATAAAGTTTCAAAGGGTCCACTAATCAAAGGATTATCATAAGATTTTCGTAGATGTATTAGGTATTGGCGCACCATATTCGTCAAGGACTGGAAATTTCGTTCTTTTGCTTTACTAAATTAAGAGTCATTTGTAGAAAATTGAATGACAAACCTTAAACCAGAGGTTTCCAATTTGAATCATGATACTATCTACACAATTAATGTAAAAAAATATGTACCTAAAAATAATCTAAAAAAATGAGAAGGGAGAGGTAATTAATTAACCTTCCCAATATATATCCCACAATAATAATAATGGAAAAACATGGAAGATAAAGAAAAAAAAAAAGTCAAAAATCATATTTGTTATGTCAAGAGAAAGTTTTTTATTTGGTTTCTCGACTTTTTGTGACATGAAAGGATAATTGATCCACCATAGAGTTAAAAATTGTGAAGTGATTAGAAGTTTTCCAAGAGTAACAATTAGAGTAGTTAATTAATTAATATTTAACCACTAATGTCTTAAATAATTTAGTAATAATCTCCTTCAAATGAAAGTAAAAAATTTTAAATTTAAATCGCATAACACGTGAATAAAGTAAGTTAAGGAATAAAAGAAAACAATCTTTTATTATGCAATTCTGGATAAAAAAAAAAAAAATTTATACCCAATGATCTCCCTATATTAACATATGCCATAGACTCAGACTGATTGTTCTTAGATCCAATTAAAAATCTTATCCTTGAATTATTTTAAAAAGAATTTCATACTTTACAATTCATTTTTTTTTTTTTTAAAGTTAGTTTGTTGTCAAGTACCAACATGTTACATACAGTAAAAGAAATGGGCCATCTCAAGGGGGTCAACTGGTGGCCCAAAAAGTGGGAATACTGGATCACTAACTTAATTTGGTTTATGGGTTTCAGTCCATATCAGATTTGGGCTGAAAGTTAATTCTTTTCGTTGTAATTTCGGCTCGTCATGAAGGAGAATGAAACCCAGAAAAGTTTGATTCCTTCTCTGGTTTCTGGTTTCCCTCGATTCTTTCCCAATTTAAGGTTATCAAATTTCAGTTTGTTAAAATACTTCGTAGTTCGTATTGATTAAAAATAATGATGATGTAGAAACTAGAAAACATAATGTCTTACTATTAAAAATATCAAAATGTATTATCATAACTGATAAGTGAAAAATAATATATGTTTGATTTAAATTTTACCTATAATATAATTGAAATTACATTTAATTGCATTTTTAATGTTTTTTTGATATTAAGATATTGTAATTTCTCAATTCTGTTAATAATCTAAAAGATTTTTTTTTTTTTTTTGAAAAAAGAAGCACAAATTTTTTTTCTTTAGCACTCATAGAACCCGTAATCCCAATACATTATTTTTCAGCAATCTTTGAAACAGAGTAACAGTCAAAGAAAATCGGTAAGCTAAATATAAAGTAAACTGAAGCAGAGTCTCAACGCCATCGGTTTCGTGCTGGTTGACCCCAGGAAAAGTTTTGATAGTTGCATACCCTTTAGCATTCACATGCTTTCCGGTGCCACCCATGATTGCCAATTGGGACTCTGACGCCGCCGTCCGGTGCACCCCAAAGAAACTCAGGCTATCCACATACCCCCCGCTCTCAAACATTGCTGTAAAAGCCATGGTCTGGCTGGTGCTTTCTACAGAACTAGCCACATAGAACCCCTGAGCTTTACCCACCAAACCAGACCCAAGCTCGTGCCCTTCAGTTAGCTCGTCGTCGATGACCGTCAGTGTTCCGAACACGAACTTTTAGATCATGCTTCCGGCAGGGAACCGACCACCGCTCAGGACCGGAACACCTAATCCATTAATTTGGTTGTTTCCATTGCTTTGGATCACATTGGCTGAATTTCCACCGAGGCCGGTGAGAAAGGGGACATTGTTGTTGTTCAGGACGCCGTTGTTGTTGCTGTTGATGGAGATGCCATTGTTGACGGGGAGGTTTGGGCCGTTAGGTTTGTCGAAGGGTACTTGACCGTTGATTGCTGGGTTCATAACGATTCCTGTAACAGCTCTGGCTGTGGGGTTTGATCCACCGAGAATGTCATGCATGTAGAAAACCAAGGGATGATGGAGGTCTTCCGTGCCTACTGCCCCAGTAGCGGCTGCGCCAGCAGCTGGAGTGGTTCCGGTAATTGATGTTACAACTGAGTCAGGCTCACACGGTGCGGTGGTGGGAACCAGCGGTTCCTCCTCATCAAGAACTCGAGCCGAGCTGCAGCTGGAAAATTGATTGTGAGAGCCAAGAGCAGGAGGGAGAGCCAGGGGCTGCTTGTATGTTGCCATGAGCATGACCAAAAAGACTTTATGATTATGAATTTGAGATTTCTTTGTTAAGTGCTGATGGATTTTGAGAAGTTTAGTTTTTACATCGAATGTCCAGCAGTCCAGTGTTGGAGTGATTAAGATGGAGTTATTGAGATGGGTTATTGAGATGGATTAGGTGATTTTATTTTTTCAGTTTATTCCAATCCATCTAACGATGTCAACAGGGTCCTACGAGATCAGGAGTCCTTCCCTATCTCCATTTCTGTAAATGACGGGGACGGGATCCCTGTGATAATTTTTGATGGGAGTAGATTTTGTCTCCCATTCCCCACCAACTAATATCTAAATATATATTTTTTACATTAAATATAAATAAAGATTAATTTAACATAAATAATTAATAGAAAAACATAAATGGTTATGAAGAAAAAACAACAATATGTTTAACTTGCTCAAAAACAATAAGACATACATCCTAGAATCCTAGTACCATACTACTTAACTTAAAATCCTAAAGTCTTTCTCTTTTGCAATTACTGTATCCAACATCATATTCTTTAGAAGACACTGATTTAGACTCTTAGAGTGTCATTGACTTATTATACATTATTTTACAAGAATAATCAAAGTAGCATGTATTCGGAAAAATATGCTTCTGCAAATCTGTGCATCCAAAATATCTAACTTAGAAAATTATATTAAATTTAAAAAATTATTTTAAACTTTTTTCGGGAACAGGGATCTCCGCAAAACTCCACGGAATGAAAAAAATTCCCCACAACATTTCGCAAGGGAAAAATATTCCCCGTCCCGCCCTGCGAAGAGGAATATTTCTCACCGTTCTACCCCATCCCGTGACAAGGATATCTGCGAAACCTCACGAAAATCGAGACAAATTGCCATCCCTAAATCCATTTGTGTTTTAGTTGGATCTCTAACACCCACTTCTTTTCGGGAGACTAGGAAGATTGACATTAAGTCCAAAATAAAAATGTATTGGGCCAGGTTTTAGCTTTTAAAATATTGCAAAAACGTGGACC